GCCCGTACATCCTGCCCAACACGCAACTCACCTCATCCACCTCAACCGCCACAGCACTAACATCACACTCGGCCAAATCATCACAAACCCACACCGCCCAAAACCGCAATCCACGCCAACATCAAAACCACCACCGCCCTGTCCACACAAAGCCCCGCCCGCACCCACACTGGAGCCCGAGCAGACGCCGCACCCGGCCCCCATCCCCCGACCAGCGGCGGCCGGCCGCCGGCCCGGCGGCGCGGGCGCGGCGACGGAGCCGGGCTCGCGCCGGGGCCGGGGCGTTACCGGGCGGCCGCAGGACGGCGGCGGCCGACACACGGCGGCCGCTATAGCTGGGCGCAGCAGCACGTCCACACGGACAGCGACCACTTGGGCGGCTTCACACTGCAACGGCGGCACAGGGGTCCACCGGCTGGCGGCGGTCGGCTGGCGCGCCCGGCGCCCGTGCGTCGCCGCCTCCGCTTACGGCGCTGGGACAGCCGGAGGCAGAGGCAACGGCAGCGGCGCCACCACTTACGCAGCGAACGATGGGCTTTTTCGGAACCGAAGGTCCATGAAACAATGTTGACAGGGAGGTTTGTACGCAGTGTTCCAAATGCATATTGACTAGTGTCTGGATATGCGTTTAGGTTGTCCAGCGTCCCTGAGTGTGTACCTCCACATACAGGATAATATATCCGACCACAACCTAACTGCATTAATCGGACATAAAGTTCACCACGGCTACAACCGAAGAGCGCTAAATAAGTTTGTTTGCCTATCATTAAACCTGTAAGATGGGGGGGGGGGGGGGGAGGTGGGTAGCGATTGCATCCCTTCGAGGAGTAGCCGCATCCGCTACTTCATCGATAGCCGAGCGATGACGTCACCGATAACACAGCCCTCTGACGACATGGGGGACCGCGCGCGTGTCGTCGAGCGGCGGCATCGCGGACAAGTGTCCATCCGGTCAGCGTACCGGGCTGCCACCGCTGTACCGGTGCCCAGCGGTGCCAGCGTGCGCTCAGTGGTCCGCACACAGCCTTCATAACATTCTGCACAACACACTGGGATGTGTCGCGACCTAAGGCTGACGACGCAGAACTACCAGGCTATTGCCCCGCCGCGATGCTCAGGATCTCGTCGACAGGACCTTTCACTGTACTAAACGATAGTCCAAGCGTTGGTTAGTAAGCATCACTCACTACCTACACGGACACAGGACGACAGTTATGCGGTGCAGCTCGTCGTCGCGGCGTCCCCTACCGCGCGCGCGCTGAACACGCTGCACCTACCGGCGTCTGCGAGGAGGCGGCGCCCCAGCTGCGGCCACACACGAGCCACGCACGGCATACCTGCCGCCGCTGCTCCCGGTAATGGCGCCAGCCTCGACCCCGTCTGACCCTCCGACGACTCCGGCTCTGCCGCCCCGCCCCGGGCCCGCAGGCCCACACCGACCTCTCCGGCTCCGGGGTGCGCCGTCGGCTGTGGAAGGGGTGGTGCGGCGAGGCCGGCGGCGGGGTGCGGCGCCGCGTCGTCGGCGTCTTGATGCCGCTCGTCTGCGCCTGCACGTCTGAAACGGCCGGCGGCGGCCAGTCAGTACGGCACACACAGACACAGACAAGGACCGACGGCGGCCAGTCAGCACGACACACACAGACACAGACAAGGACCGGCGGCGGCCAGTCAGTACGGACATACAGACGACGACCAGCAGCGGCCTGCCAGTAAGGCACACAAAGACACACACAACGGCCGGCGGCGGTCAGTCGTTAGGGCACACACACGCACACACTACGTCCGGGGACGGGCCCGGGGATGTCTGTGCTGTGCTGGGGTGCGCACGGTCCGTGACTTTGTTAAGCGTGTTGGGTTAAGCGTGTTGGGCGAAATAAATATGACACCGCAGGACACACCGCCTGCATAGTTTTGGTTACATTATATTTGTTGGCTCGAAATCTACCCACGAGGTGGCTTTTTAGGTCTTCGGCTCGTTACAACTTTCGTTAGGTTCGGCTCGTTACAACATATTAATAAAAACTATAAAAGACGATACTACGAAATACACCGCAAAATGCAATATAACGAAATGCACCCTAAAATGCGATATTACGTGATAACACTACATGAGCATATAGTGCTTTAAAATGCGATGCACAAAATACGACATAACAAAATACGATGCTATAGATGCGTACGAGGCCGAACAATGAATCCAAAAGACGCTATAAATTGACAACAGAATGTGCCAAACCCATAGCATCGGCGAGACGAGCCAGTGGGCAAACGAGGGATCGTGAGTGAACAAATATTGTTCGAACCCCACAGGCGCAAACTTCTTCATTGCTGACGTGTTCCATAACCATGGGAGTCACACATGACGCGCCTCACTTAAGATTTGACCCATGCACCAAGGCACTAAACACTCATCCTAAATCGTATCTTTTCGTACGTACGTATCTAATCGTACCTAACTCATCATAAACAAACAAGATGGGTGATCCTTATCACAAACAGGAGGACACTAACAATCTATTAATACAGCACGGCCATCTATACTGCCACCAAAGCCCAGGACGTATGAGTAAGCTCTGCACGCCGCTATCGTGAGCCCGCAGGTGGGCTCACGCTGGTCCTGCGCACACTCCAGCGGATAGCTGATGAGCCAATGTGGCACGCAGCCTGCCCCTTGCAGCGGTTCGGACAGATCGCGCAGCCCCGTGACCTGGGCGCGTGGTACACAGAACACGCGCGCGCACGCACGCACACCCACCCACACTGCATGACATGAACGGCGGCACGGCTCGCAGCGCGACCGCGCTCTTCGCGCTGCCAAGATTCGCCCAGAGTCGGGCGCCACCGGTGCCGCGGGAGCGCCGGACCCCGCCGGCCGGGCCCAGCCGGCAGCCCGCGCGCGCACTCACCTCTGAACCAGGAGGAGACGTCCACGCGCATGCGCTCCGACTTGCGGATGAAGTCGTGCTCAATGAGCCGCTTGTACTTGGGCCGGTGCTTGTAGTCTTTGGTGAGGCAGTCCTTGACGAAGCGGCGCAGCTCGGGACTGAAGCCGCGCCCCTCCGGCAGCAGCGGCGCGTCATTCTTCAGCACCTGAGCACCGCCAAGCCGGCCGTCAGCGTTGAACACGGACTCACGGTGGCGATCTGTGCCCGGCGCATCAAGGCACGCGCCCGGCACAGAAAACAATAACACGGTCACAATTTTCTAGGTGTTTCTTGGAATGGCCAATGCCGTTGCTGCTGATATGCCAACAGCTAGTGACTTGTGTTTGCGCGAGGAACGGAAAATTCACCCACTCCATCGAGAACTATACAACCGCACGGACTTAACGTCTTGATGCCTTTAGGTACCAAACAAAGCAACTTAATGTCTTGAAGAGGCTCTCATTAACAATGTCCTGTTAATGAGAGCCTCTGGTGGTCGCCTCTCCAGTGCTAGAGGCGATCACCAACTCTCACATTTCCCCACACTTCCAATCCCAATCAGTCAGCAAACAAGACAACAGGACAGCGGCGGTGTTTGTGATGTGATCGAGCAATATAAAACACATTCGTCATATCAAATGCAGTGTGAGTGCCATTCTACCCCAACCGAAGCTAGATGCTGCAGTGGCACTACCGACAGAGTTGCATCCTAGCACCTTCCGACATCCGCAACCGAAGCCAGGCTTGCGCGTGGTCACATGCCCGTCGCTCCGTATTTTGGTGGGTAGCCACTGGCTGTCTGCCCTGCGGCCGAAAACAGGCGGATGGACCAATGATCTCCGCAGCACAGCCGCGCGGCACCTGCCGCACCAGGCGAGCTGTGCGCCGGTGCGCGCCGGCAGCGCACACCCACCTTAGTGAGCGCCTCGAACTCGGACTTGCAGTCGGCGTACGGCAGGAATTGCCGGTGGCCAGCTCCACCAGCGTGATGCCCAGCGACCAGACGTCCGGCGCGGATGTCGTAGTCGGGCCTGTCAGGATTCGGCGGCCTCGATGCGCTCCGGCTGGCCGGCCCACAGGCAGACGGGGTCACAAGGCCGCCCCGGAGAGGTCACGCGGGGGGTGACGGGGTCACACGGCCAGCCCCGGGAGGTCACGTGGGGTGACGGGGTCACAAGGCCGCCCCGGGAAGTCACGGGGGTGACGGGGGACGACACAGGCTGTGACACCAAAGCCCCGAGGTCAATTCGGCGGCGGCCGGCAAACGGGCAGACTGGGGTCACAAGGCCCGCCCTGGAAGGTCACGTGGGGTGACGGTGACGACACAGGGCTTGGCACAGAGCGCCGAGGTCACGCTGAAGCTGCCCTGTGGACGGTCCGCCCTGAGGCCACACGTCTGAGGTCGCCAGCAGCCAGTCAAGAGCTGCGCACGTGACAGCCACATCGCCTCCGATGCCATTCAACACGTACTAAGCAGCTCGGAATCACCACCAATAACTGGTCGCTTTGCTTCGTTGTGTGCGCCTTCGTTTGGCGAAATAACATCAGTATTACTCAAACTCGATTAAAGCGAAGAGCAAATCGATCACCACCGCTTGCATCGCAAATCCACCGGAAATCGTTCATGTTCCGGCACAAACTACGCAAGCTTAATGCTTCAGAGAGCATATTAACACTAAGTTCATCACAACATAGGGTAAGTTCCGTCGTGTTCATGCTTTCTAGGCAAATGTCTTGACTGAACTCATTTCAGGAATCGCTCAATACAATACATATCTCACAACCATTAGATCTACTCACTCTTCCCATCTATCTAAAGAGGTCTCTGTAATATCAAAATGCTAATAATTTGCCTGGTTGTAACTTGGAGCCTTGGGAGATGATCCATTGGGCTGTGTGCTACCTCAACATCAGATCCCTCCTAAACTATTCTGTCTATCCCAAAACCTTCAGCAACGTACTGTGCACCAATCACAGACACAGGCATTGATTTGTGCCCTTTTGCGTGGGTCGCTGACACCTCCCCCCCCCTCTCCCATGTCCGACTTGCCCCGCCCCAACGATGAATTTGCTCCACCCAACCTTCTGGAAGTTTGGTGTAAGCAGAACATTCAAAAGGGGAGCTCAAACTTATATAAATTTGAAGAGAAAGTTCATGAAAGATGTTTCACAGCCAAAACAAGGACAATGAAAACCGCGATGTGCTGTCAAGTACAGCTGACTGAGCTAGTCCTTATAGATCACCACGTTTATGCCCTATTTGCTTGATTGCTTTCTGTTTAGCTGAATGCTGCATGATTTTTATAATAAAAAACTTCATGTCTTGCGAGTCCGGTCTAGATTTATTGCAGGACCTTATTCAGCGATGTTTCAGCTTCTACAGCCTACGATAACTTGCGTTATTCCGCCACGCCGTCTTATCCGAGGCTATAGAAAAGAACACGGCTAGGTATTCACTGGATTGTCGTTCAAAGAAAACAACCCGATCGCACATTGGCAAACCAAAACTTGACGAATCCACCAGCCGTTCACATTCTGAAGCACACCTGATATGTGTCAAGCCGCTACTTCGACGTGAATTTGCAATGAAACGGTTTCATGAGCCGGACGACACACCCGCCGACTCAACCGATAGCGACAATAATTCACACGACAATCTGAATCTAATTGAACAGCATACAACTACTGCCGACCGCAAATCTCGTTGAGAACCAAAACCCTGGTGTTTCTGCCAGGCTCTTTCTCGATCAGTTTCAAAACGACAGTCGCATCGATTCACCCAACCCCACCCCGCTATCGGTCCGCGTTATAAAAACGGCGAACCAAGGCAAGGGTTACGCATTGTAAGACTTGAATTCATCACATTTGGATATTTTATTTTCTATTCTGCGGACTTCCCATCGGATGCCGGGGGGTCTATGCGGTATACCTATCGAATACCGTCAAAAGCCCAATATGCCCGATGTTTCTTTGTGAAATGGACACGAAATCTCCAACCGCACACACGAATGAACAGAACACCGATCGTAACGTACCTCTATTAGTCCTAATTGGCCTTCTCGTCCTAAGCCTCGCGGTTCGTAATCCTTCCTCTGTACTTGCCTCATACGCTGAAAACTACCCATCAGCATGGGTTTCGCGCCTCTTACTTGTCTGCCATATTCGGCTCCACATGAAAATCCGCTGACGGCGCGAGCAGTGGCACCGCCCCACGCCATGCAATAGCCAATCACGCGCCGGGGAGCCCGGAGCGCGGAGGACGTCTCCGTGGCAACCGCGAGAAAAGCGGGAAACTTCCACCCATCGCGTAGGCCGTCTGTGAGGGCTCCCGGGAAATGCACCCGGGGCATCTCAGCCCGACTCCGGCAGGCGGAGACGCACAGGTAGACAACGTTGGCGCGGATGTGATGTACATGATATTATGTAGTGAGAGCACAGATGAAGCCAGACCCAGTTGGAGTGTGGGTGAGAACGGATGGGTTGGTGGATATTGGAGAAAATAGTTTGAAACGGTTTGTGGGACGATGGAAATTAATGTGACGTGTGCGTGTCTGGTTCTTCTAGCTAAGTGTGAATCATAATTGCGAGGCTTTTTCACGGAGTTTCGCGGGTTCATGACACGAAATCCGGAGCACTTTTGCCAGAGTTGAATTATCGGACATGTTTCATTTTTCTGGCATGAAATCCGGAGCACTTTTACCAGGGTTGAATTATCGGACAAAGTGCTAAAATTCTAACACTGATCTGATCTGATCTGATCTGATCTGATCCAACCCTGACCCAATCTGGCCAGATCAGAGCCGACCCCGCCGGGCCGGGGCAGGCCTCGACTCACGGCCATGTACGCTGCAGAGCCGGCGGTGCGCGTCTTGGCCTTGGAGTCGACCAGCCGGCCCGAGATGCCGAAGTCGCACAGCTTCACCTGGCCGGTCTCGTCCAGCAGGATGTTGGACGGCTTCACGTCCCGGTGTATGACACCGTGCTTGTCCTTCAGGTAGTGCAGCGCCTTCACCGTCTGCCGGGCGGTGCCAGGGACGGCGTCAGGGGCGATATCCGGGAGGGGGTCGGGGTCATGGCAAGGTCAGGGGCCGGATCGGGGAAGGGTCAGGGGCAGAGTCGGGACAGAGTCAAAGGCAAGGCGAGGGAAGGGTCACGGGCGAGGTCGTGGCAGGGTCAGGGCCAGGAGTGAGGTTGGGGCAGGGTCAGGGGTGGATTCCGGGCAGGTTCAGGCGCTGGGTCGGCTTTGGGTCAGGGGTGGGGTCGAGGTGGGGTCAGGCGCCGGGTCGGGTTTGGGTCAGGTTCGAGGTCGGAGCAGGGTCAGAGATGGAATCACAGTGGGGTCCGATGCGGCGTGAGAACGAGGACGGGGGCGGGACGGGGGCGGGACGGGGCGGGGCATGGTCCGCCCGCGGGAGGAATAAGACCAGGGTAAGGACGAAATCGGGTGCGGTGTCGTTACAGAGTCAGAACCAAGGCAAGGGTCAGGGGCAGGGTCACGGCGAGCTTGGGATAGGGTCAGCGTGGGCCTGGGTCAGGGTCAGGGCGGTCACACGGGCGGCAGTAGCGACAACGTGCGCCGGCGGCCCGGCCCCGCACAGCCGGGTGGCCAGTGACGATAACTTGCGCTCAAGCGCGCTTAAGCCGCCCCTTTGTCTATCACCAGCCCAGCAGGGTACACAATCACACTCGCCACCTGGCGCAACGTCCGGACCCCGCGCTGCAGCGGATGTGACGCGATACCGCTCGCGGTCCCGTAATCTCAGCGCTATCTCGGCGTGCCACCGCTCGGCCACTCATCATGGCAAGGACGTCGCAAAGCCGGGCCGGAGCAGCTATCTGTGAGCCCGGTATTCCGGCAGGTGACGCGCCCGGCGGGGAGGCCCCGGCCGCCGCCGCTCTCACCGAGACGGTGATCTTGCCCAGTATCGGCTCCGGGATGGGCTTGTTGCCCATCTTCTTGAGCAGCTTGTCCAGGCAGGTGGCCATCAGCTCCATGCAGATCCAGACGTCGGCGTCGGTGACGAAGCAGCCCAGGCACTGCACGATGTACGGGCAGTCGTGCGACTTGAGCACCACGTCCAGGTCCATAATGATCCGCTTGTTCTCCTCCGGATTGCCGCTGCGCCGCATTTGCTGTCGGTGGGAAGTTGTTGCCTGGTCAGCCGGAGATCGGGGGGGGGGGGGGGAGGGGTGCCGGCGCAGCCACCCGACACTAGCCATGTACTAGTCACGCGGTAAATGCAGCAACCATTTCTGCTTTCTGTCAGCACTTATTGTGTCCTAACCAATTTGAAGCACACACGATGGCTGAAACGGGCCAGCTTTTATCCAAATAGTCTGATCAACATACTACAAACTAATTGTCAGACTATCAAATTTTAAAAAGTGAACCCATGAACCCAGTGCTGAGTAGATATAATAAATTTTACATTTAAGCGGACCTACTGTTGTGTAACATGACAAAGCAAGGGCACCTTAGTTACCTTCACTGCTAACACCTTCCCACTGGGTTTGTGAACCATTTTCACCACGTGACCGCAGCTACCCGTTCCTAGTTCGCCCACGTGCTGCAGATCCTCCGGTGACGCTTTGAACCTCTGAAAAGTGGGCAGGTGGAATGAGTACACTGATGATATCCTGCATGCCCAGCAACTCTTGTGCACTCATCAGCACTACACAAATGTCTACAGCCTACAATATCCGCATACAGTGCGAATTTGGAACAAAGCTGTTGAAGTGAACAAGGATGTCTGCACAAAATTCAAGGAAAACACTGTGAATGATGCAGTGTTCCTAAGCCATACTCCTGTAGTGAGGTTTTGCATGAGAAACAATAAAAAAACACGAGTAAATCAGAATACTTAACATCTCTATGATTTCGTCTTAGGCTGGAGGTCGACAGTAAAGGTGATAATTTGGGCTATACAACGCACCGACTGCCCTGGTCACATGACTCCCATCCAACTAGTGTGAAGACGGTAAATGAGGCACCTGCTACCCACCACCAATGGCCCAGAGAGGAGTGCACATCTGGAGCCAATACAAACACAGAGGACCACACAGTTCCAGTCACCCCGTCTGTTCCCCACTCCCATCGGCCGGAGCTGGCAGCGCGGGCCTCGTCCCGGAGACGCCCCCCCCCCCCCCCGCCGGGCCGTACCACGCCGTCGATGGTCAGGATGCCTGTCATCTGCATGATCTCGCGCATCTTGGTTTGTATCTCGGAGCTATTGACGCGCCGGAAGGGAGTGGCCGGGAACTGCAGGTTGCGCGGCCGCCGCTGCTCGTCGCCGCCGCCGCCCGAGAAGTCGCTGATTGGCACTGCAACACAGCAAGGGAGGGGTGGGCAAAGTCTGCAGACTGCACACTGAGAGCCCACCATGACTGAGAAGTCGCTGATCAGTACCGCAGCATAGGGAGGGAGGGGGGCAAGGTTAACAGACTGCACACTGAGGGCCCACCATGACCAAGAAGCTAATGATCAGCGCTGCACTGCTGGGGGCAGGGGGGGGGGTCTGCACTGCTGGCATGGTCAGCAGACTGCACACGAACAGCACTGCACACCAGCAGACAGCCAGTTATGATATATTTGTGCCTACAGTGGTGTCATATTCATTACACAGTTGGATGACTGTTGATGTCATCTAAGGATGTTAGGTGGCAGATGAAGGTGTTGGGTATGTGATTTAATTAAAAATAAGTTCATGTACATAAATAATGTGATTGTGATTGGGCATTAGATCTACTATCTGAGCATAAGTTTGTTTTTTGGTGGTGGGGGTGGGTCCAGAGGTTCTACAACAGTAAGCCAACTTGCTTCAATGTTTTAACAGTCACAAAACCATGGTCAATTTTCACTTCAGTTTAATCTCATCCATGCTGAAGTTCTAACTACAGAACACACACTTATTCAAACAGGGTAATACAGTGCATCTTATGCTTAGTGAAAGCAGTCAACATTTCTTTCCATATCCACCTCTGTGGTCCAGGGGAAGATGCTGGTCTCGCAATCCAGCAGCACTGGGTACAAGTCCCAGAGTGGGTGCATTGTTTGACCTGACTAATGGAAAGGTGGGCTGACAACTGGCCAATGAGGGTTAACCCAGGCCCAAGGTGGGCCCCAGCTATGCTTAGCAGGTACTCTGAATCCCAAGTCACCCATGCAAACCATTCAGAACAAATATATAAAAAAACATCTCAACGTGGCATTTAAAGATCCAAGAGTCCCATTTATGAAATTTGAAACCTTTAGAAAGTGGCACTTATTTGTACATATTAAACCTTATATTATAGAAGTATGTTATGCAATAATTCTAATTTCATATCTTACACAACCTTCTATAAATGAGACTCCATGTATCAGTTTCCCTTTCAAACTCCAGGCTAGCAGTGCATCGCAAACTCCCCAAACGACCAGGGCCTCCAATTGCCTACCCTGGCACAAGGACCTGTGGCTTCCCTTTTGGCTTGACAGGGATTAAACCCTGACTTAAAATGCCCACAACAGTTGACATAACATTGCTAGATCCCACAATAAGTTGGAGGCCCAAAACATGATTCAAAACCAGTGTGCAAGTATATGGCTAATCGTGAATGATTTTTTATGAAGACTTATCTTCAACTGTTACTGGGAAGTTTTTTCACAGATGTGCCCCACCTTAATAACTAACATCAATAAACCACTATGACCATTAAAGTGTAGCTTATGTTCAGTCCTGACTATTTCCAACCAGTAATTTATTATTAATATTACGGTGTGCATGCAAAAATGGCTATGTTTAATTTTCAACACATTGTGACAGATAACTCAGCATAAGCTAATTTTGCTGTGTTTATAGCATAGTTGATCGTAAGTTCACAATGAACTTACCTAAATCTATGACTCAAATGGTAAAACAATTTTCCTTCTATATGTACAAAGATTCCACACTGACTATGAAACATATCAAATTACAGCAAAAGAGCATAATAATATTCCAAAACCTTTTTCAACAATAAACTAATCTATGTATCAGTAACTACTGATAGTGAGCATGCTGTGTCAAATGTTCCAGTCCTGACTCTAAGTGGCAGTGTAACAAAGACTGAACTTGAAGACATCATATTATACTGATGGTCCTTATCCAAAGATAGGTGGTGATTCCTGCTGGTATATATGTCCCCCTATCTCATACTGGCAGATGGCAGAGATCCTGTACCTAAAAATATTATGCTAGTTTTCATAATCTGATTGTAGCCAAATCAAAATATGAAGGAAAGATCAAGTGTCTTCGAGGATGAAGCAGATCACCGGACCTCATTTCAATGCTAATGTATATTATCAATGCATGCAAACTACAAAATAAAATATGAGACACAAAGAGTAAAGTATGATGAAATGTTTTGCTACAAACCTCATCTATAGAGCAGCACAAACATAAGCTGGTGTACCTGAATGTTTAGATTATATACATTGAGTTGCCATTCCCTAGCAGAAGTGTAGACATCACTTTCATTTTCCTGTTGCAGGAAAATTTCAAGGTCTGTAAATCTTAACATCATCTCCAGAGACACTAAGCCACTTACCCAACCTGAAAGTGACACTTTTAACAGATGGCATGGGTTAGAAAGGTTGGACACACTCTAGTAACTGGTAACAAAATTCATTGAAATCACGATGCACGCCAGGCGACCTTACGTGGCTTAGGTCGTCTTCCATGATGACCTTCTTTTGAGCGAGAGAAATCCAGGTTCAGTCCACGGTCTGTATCTCTCGATTCATTTTCCTCTTGTAACCTGGCTTGAACGTCTCGCACATTCAATCGAATAGCCGACATCGCAGAGACTGAAGGCCTACTCCGTGATGTCGATCCATTTGCACTCATCACGGATTTCCCAAAGTGCAATACTCACAATCCCAACAAGGCATGTAACTACAAAACGCAGCCTATCCCCCTCCGCAATCGTAACAGGCGCAGAGCGTCATCTAGAAGAACTAAAAATGATCGCATCGCAAGGAACTCGACGTTCGTCAAATTGGAACGACATTACACATTCATATTCGCGTGTCATATTCAATCTACTCACCAATTGCAATAATATTTAGCTCACAGATAGAGCTAATTATGCCATTGACGAATATACAGGTCACTAAGTGTGATATCCAAAAACAAAGGAGTTATTAAAGATCAAAGTTCAAGGTCATTCAAGGTCATTGCTTTCTGAACCTTCCTGGACTCGAGAGATTTCGACCTTATTTGGTTTGTTGATAGAACAAAGCACTTAAATCGATAAAATCATATTTTCCAAATGTGACATTTAAAACCACGCCCGTAAAGAATCATAAAAGTTCAAGGCCATCGGATCTTTCGGTTGCTTTCGGACTCTTTCGATTGCTTTAAATTTTGACACAAACATTTACATCACATCGCTTCACCTAGCCCCCAAATATTACATTGTGACATTCAAACGTTCGTCTTCCAGAGGCATTCAAATCTTGGAAATGACGGCCTCGCACGTGTTAAGATATATACATTTCATGTCAGTAAAATGGCAGAGAGGCTGCTTCGATCACCTTGAAATTTGGCACACATATGTACCATATACACATACAGTTTTTTACCAAGTGACAACTTGTGGCATTTCTATTCACGCATTCCACTGGCTCTCAAACAATGGGATATATGACATATCTCTAAAACGACACAAACAGCGTATTGATATACCACCAAGACCAAGGAGTGCTGAACAATGCATCTCTTATGACGTAATTAGACGTTACCTCTCGGTTTCGGCAGGCAAAATATGACGTACAAATCAAAAATGTCACATTCCATGTCGGGTTTCACACATTCGCGGACTCCTCAAATTACTTTGAAACTCGTTACTCGTTTACGTCTCGCAAGTGTTAACATATATACATTTCATGTCAGTAAAATGGCAGAGAAACTCCCTCAATAACATTGAAATTTGACACAAATGTGTACCATGTACATGCACCTTTTTTTGACCAAGTGGAAATTTGTGACACTTCCATTCACACATTCCAGAGGCTGTCAAGGAATGGAATACATATTACATCTCTAAAACGAGACATCCAGGGTCGTAATATGCCACCAAGACCAAGGAATGCTGAACAGTGCATCTCCTAGATGTGATTAGCAGTTGCCTCTCATATGACGTGCCATGTGACGGTACGGCATGCAAAATGTGACGCACAAATCAAAAATGTCACATTTGATGTCGGTTTTTACACACTCTTTTGATTGCTTCGAAATTCTCCACAAATGATCACCTTACATGGATACAACTAGCCACCAAACATTATAGCATGACATTCAATAGTTCGCCTTCCAGAGACATTCAAACCTTGAAAATGACAGCTTTGAACGTTTTAGCGTATACATATTGCGTGGCAGTTAAATGGACGAGAAACTCCTTCGATCACCCCGAAATTTGGCACAAATGTGTACCGTGTACGTATACAGTTTTTACACAGAGGCAACGACCAACTACATCTTAGGAGATGCATTCCTTGGTCTTGGTGGTATATTACGGCGCTGTTTGTGTCGTTTTAGAGATGTCATACATCCAATTGTTTGAGAGCCTCTGGAATACGTGAACTGTAAAATTACAAGCTTCCACTTGGTGAAAAACTGTATGTGTACATGGTGCATGTTTGTGCTAAATTTCAAGGTGATCGAAGGAGTCTCCCTTCCATGTTACTGACATGAAATGTATATATGTTAACACGATTGAGGCTGTCAATTCCAAGATTTGAATGCCTCTGGAAGGCGAGCATTTGAATGTCGTGCTTTACTATTTTGTGGCTAGGTGGAACCATGTAAGGTGTGTATTGGGGGCGAATTTTAAAGCAATCAGAGCAGTTCGTGGATGCGTTAAAACCGACATCGAATGTGACATTTTTGATTTATGCGTCATATTTTGCATGCCATATCGTCATATGGCACACCATATGAGAGGCAACGACTAATTACATCATAGGAGAGGCATTGTTCAGCATTCCTTGGCCTTAATGGCACCTTACGACGCTGTCTGTACCGTTTTAGTGATATGTCATGTATCCCATCGTTTGAGAGCCTCTGGAATGCGTAAATTTAAATGTCACGAATTTCCACTTGGCGAAAACTGTATACGTACATGGTACACATTTTTACCCAATTTCAATGTGATCAAAGGAGTCTCTCGTCCATTCAATTGACATACAATGTGTATATGTTAAACGTGCGAAGCTGTCATTTTCAAGGTTTAAATGCCTCTGGAAGGCGAACGTTTAAATGTCATACTGTTATCTTTAATGGATAGGTGAAACCATGTAAGGTGATGGTGGTGGAACCATGTGTGAATCAGACAACCAGAGCCAGGCAGTCAGTCAGGAAGAGTCAGGCAGACAAGCAGGCAGAGCCAGGTAGTCAGGCAGGCAATGCCAGGCAGTCAAGCAGAACAAGACAGGTAGGCAGGGCCAGGTAGTCAGGCACTCAGGCAGGCCGAGCCAGACAGTCAAGTAGGCAGTCAGGCAGGCGGAGCCATGCAGTCAAGCAAGCCGAGTCAGGCAGTCACGCAGGCAGAGCCAGACAGTCGAGCAAGCAGTCAGGCAGACGGGCAGATTCAGACAGACAGGCAAAGCGAGGCAGGCAGGCAGAGTTAAGCAGTCGACCAGAGTCTAACAGGAAGTCAGAGTCAAGCAGGCAGGCAGAGTCAAGCATGGCCAGGCAGTTAGGCGGTCAGACAGGCAGTCAGGCAGGCAGGCAGGGTCAGACAACCAGAACCAGACAATCAGTCAGATAGAATCAGGCAGGCAGTGTCAGACAGACAGGCAGGAAGAGTCAGACAGAGATAGGTTCTAGAGAGGGATAAATGTGTGTATATATATATATATATATATATATATATATATATGCATATATACATATATTGCTCATTCTTGTTTTCTGTCAGTGCAACAAATTTGCTTCATTAAGTCTCCAGGAACGGGAGAGAGAGAGAGAGAGAGAGAGAGAGAGAGAGAGAGAGAGAGAGAGAGAGAGAGAGAGAGAGAGAGAGAGAGAGAGAGAGAGAGGAGAGAGAGAGAGAGAGAGAGACAGAGTCAGAGAGAGAGAGAGATAAATACATATATATATATATATATATATATATATATATATATATATATATATGTATATACATTGCTCATTCTTGTTTGCGGTCAGTGCAACAAATTTGTTTGCGTAAGTCTCCAGGAACGGGAGAGAGGAAAAAGCCGCTAAAACCTGTTGACACTCACATCCTCCTATCCTATGGCACCAATCAATACGAAACCTTCGAAACTTGATGCCGCTTGGTCGATAGTTTGTCTTTCTCAGAACATGATGATTTGGGGATAGATCAAAGGTCAAAGGATAGGTCAAAGGTCAACAAAAAAATTTTAAAAACGGAAAAAGCAACCTGAAAACATTCCCATTTCCAAGCGTATGAAACAAATCATTACAAAACTTTCACATATTTATGCGCCATTGTTGGAATCCTCTCCTTTTCAAAACATGGCGACGGTTGGTCGGGTCAAATGTTATGAAAAACATTCGACATCTCCAATATTGGCTGTAGATGCCCCCATGTTCCGAGCCTATGTGAACGATCGGCACGGAAGCTGTACCAATCGATGCGCCATGATCGATAGCCATTCTGTCCAGAAGGTAATGTCCTTGGGTCAGGTCAAAGATGGCCAAAAATGTCCCAACCTACAATAAGTTAGTTTACAGATAAGCTCTGCCGATAGTCTATCCTTTCCAGATGATGGTGAACTTGGGTTAGAGCAGTGGTCGCAAAAAAATGTACAAAACCTCCCAAGTTAGTTTGCAGGCAGCTCCATGTTCCGAGCCTGCGGGGCTGATAGGCACAAAACATCTAAGAACAGGAATATTTGCTTTTCGATGCCACTTGGAGGATAATCTGGTGAGGTCCATCTTCTCACATATTCATCCGGCCACGATCTCCGCACAAACCCTGACGTTCTCCAGCTATCATCTGTACAGTAACTGCACCACCGCGACCATCTGTCTCAAAATCGCACTTCATCCACATAACTGCACCTCGATTTGATATATTCAAGCTCGGACTACCGACTGGCAAACAGACGTAAGGTCGGTTTTGCCTATGTTAACGCAGATGAGAGGTCCTTGGTCAGATTATTCGTTCAGTCTAAATTGGAGGTACCTTCGACCACCCATGTAAACGGTATTTTTTTAGGGCTGAAAAGCCAACGAACCAGATGGCGGTGTTTGTGTTCTGGTGCGGATGTCGAGCTGGTGACAATGGCGATAACCTTTGACCCTTGAATTGCATATCAATATCACTGTTGCACGTCGATATTGTTCTGGTTTCTTTTGTCACGTGTGTTCACCCAAGGTCAAGCTAGGTCGAGCTATGATTGCTGCCAACAGATTTGCTTTTTGAAGGTGTTCCTACGTGACGTTTAATGGTCTAAACCTCTGACAGTTTCCCAATCACGCTGGGTGGGTCAATGCTACAACAGCCTTCCCGCTTTGATCTGGCATGTCATATCGCATGGGTACCGATAGAGTAGGGCTGCGCGTCTAGGAAACCAGACGCACGGGGTTGGATTCTTCGCGGTGCCCACTCTTTCTGTCGGGATGGGAGGCAGACGACGTCCAACATCTGAGTGCGCTGTAAAAGCCAAATGACGAAAACGACATCACAGGTCACACCTGTCGATGTTCACTATTTTTACTCCTCTTGCAAAGCTTTCCGAACCTTTATGACGCCATCCTCTGCATTGTCTTAGCAATCTTGGTTCTTTACATAAGAGGAGGCAGCTAGGCGCTGTAATGAGATCCATATGACCTGATTGATCTGCCCAACAGGGTGTGTCATCGGTAACAAAACCAAGTGAGACAAAGAGATTATTTGGAGCTGGAGCCCAAAAATACACAGCGTAGCAAAAGTTCTTCCCAAAAACGTAAG